GTGTTGGTATAGATATTTGCCTTTCAGCGTGTCGATATAGATATTCGCCTTTCGGCGTGTGTCGGTATAGATATTCGCCTTTCGGCGCGTGTCGGTATAGATATTCGCCTTTCGGCGTGTCAGTATAAATATTCGCCTTTCGGCGTGTCAGTATAGATATTCGCCTTTCGGCATGTGTCGGTATAGATATTCGCCTTTCGGCATGTGTCGGTATAGATATTCGCCTTTCGGCATGTGTCGGTATAGATATTCGCCTTTCGGCGTGTGTCGGTATAGATATTCGCCTTTCGGCGTGTGTCGGTATAGATATTCGCCTTTCGGCGTGTGTCGGTATAGATATTCGCCTTTTGGCGTGTGTCGGTATATATTCGCCTTTCGGCATGTCTGTATATATTCGCCTTTCGGCATGTTGCTGGCGCTATGGAAGTGCGGCCATTTGCTGACGCTGTTCTTGTGTGACAGCAGTGTTCGATGTGAGTAGACAATTCGTTATTTCCAATTCGCGGTTAAATGTTGGTATATTATTGCGTTGTCGTGTCAATTTTGTTGTATAAATTGTGTAGTTTTAGATGTCTTTCAGATACAAGATTGGAAGGCTGAACTCGGCAACCCAGCACTGGATGACTTCTGTGACACTCTGCCCGATGTGATGTTGGTGTCTAGAGCCGGTAATACGTTAAGCAAGTACACCGGCAGTTGGCTCAGATGGAAACGATGGTGTCAGTCAAATCTGTTGGCGGGCGCTGCCTGTCCAGCAAAGCCGTTGCACATTGCTATATATCTTCGGAGTTTGTTGGACGACGCAAATACAGTTGCGCCCATGGATTCCGCATTGTATAGTATTAGATGGCGCACTCAATGGCTGGTATCGAATCCCCGATTGGTCATCCAATGGTTCGGGCTACGATGGAGGGCTGCAGGCGCATTCTCGCTAAACCTAGAAAGGCCAAAGAGCCAGTCGACCCAAAAATTCTGGCCACACTGATGTCCCAAAAGAATCTATCTTCGTTATCAGACTTACGATTGCTATGCTTGTGCCTTATTTCGTATGCTGGATTTATGCGTATTGGCGAGCTCTTGAGCGTTAAAATAAACGACGTTTCATTCTCAGATTCTCATATGGAGATTAAATTGCATAAGCGAAAGAACGACCAATTTCAAAAGGGAAGTTCTATAATTATTGCAAGGTCTCCCAAAAATACTTGTCCCGTACGTGTTACTGAAATGTTCATATCTAAATTGGGGGTTAACGTTAATTCCGAAAGTTTCTTAATTTGAAGACTGGTACATACTAAGCAGGGGCTCAAGCCTCACAATCATTTAGGGATTTCATATTCTACTGCTAGAGATTTAATGATGAAAGGTATCAAACCACTGGTTAACGATATTTCCCAATTCGGTACTCACAGTTTTCGTGCGGGTGGCGCAACGGCGGCAGCTAATAGTAACGTTAAAGAAAGGTGCATTGCCAGACACGGAGGGTGGAAGAGCACGAGTCAAAAGACAGATATATTTGTGATCGCTTAAAAGTAAACTAGAAGTATCAAAGTCCCTTGGGGTCTAACATACACGTTTGTAAAACCATAACTAAATGTTTGCTCTCCTGGGTACTGCAACCACCGCATACCACATTTCATGCTTGTTGTTTAATTTGTACGAATAATTGGAGTTAAGTATAGATTGATAAATTATCTGCGTTTCGTAGATTAACAGATAATTACTATCTATTCGTATGTAAATTATTCAGGTGCCATTGCACCTGTTCTGACTGGTTATTGGCTAAATAACCAGGTGCTCATGGGTATATACAGTAAAACCTGTCAAAACCGACCATGACTGGGACTGGGATCTATGGTCGGTTTTCAGAGGGAGTCGGTTTATTCAGGGTGGGCGTGACTTTGATTGAAACAACAATTACACGTGCTGTAAACACGGGACAAATGAAAGACATCAGAGTTTGCCTCCGGTGATTCTACATGTATTTACAATGTGCATTTATTGTATTCTACATGTATTTACAATGTGCATTTATTGTATTGTTTCAATAAAATAATTTACCAAACAAGACAAAAATATTATGGTATGTACATGACATCAATTAACATTAAAATAACTATTCGAACAGACCGGGTAAGTATTGCGTATCGTAACTGAAGGCGTCCATTTTGGATGACATCACAACGTATGTTCACGTGAGCTACATGTAATTATCATAATTTATGCAGACAGTCGATTTTGCTGTTAAGTCAATCACAGTCCCTCAACAGGGACTGTGAGTCAATGAATCAAATTACGATGTAAAAAATCATCAAGTTTTGACTACTTTAAAGAACACCTTTTTTTTCAACGATTTTGTTTTCCGTTCGAATTATGAAATTTTGGATAGCTGTCAAGTAACTGGAGTCTTTGTTCTGTAATCTTGTCAACATGTCTAGCACATCGCCATGCGTCAAGTCACTGTCGTTGTGGGGTCAATAATTTGACTGTCGTTGCAATTTATGTCATTGTTGTCTATAGATTCATGGTTTTCTTTGTCTGCAATAAAATTCTCAACAATCTGTTGCTCCCACTCGCCGTCATACATTGCTTCAGTCGGTATACGTTCATCAAAGTGGAGGTATTCTACAACGCTACACTGTGTTTGCGGGTCTGCAACTTGCTAAATAAGGTTTCCGAATTCTTTGTTGTCGTCTGCTTCTTCGTCATCATAAATTTCAATCTTGAAGCCTCCTTTACGGAAACATTCGAAAGCACAAAATTGTCGATCAGAATCGTTATGGAAAGAAGAAAACTCAATGTCTTTTGAGCGTTGAAGAAGTGATAATGCAGTGTGCTTCACCGCAATTGAAGGTGATGACCCCGATCATTTGTTTATATCCGGGGTCATTATACTGTCCAGACACCACGCGATGCGTGGGCGTGTGGTGTGAAAAATGTAATCAGTTGCCATTGTTTTACACGGGACGTTACTTGTAGTGTGAGATTTGGTATTGTTTCTGTGACGTTCGCGGAATTTGGACACAATGCACACTTTTTAGGTCGGGCAGACCGAATTACTAGACAGCGGATGTGGTGCAAATGGTCGGATGGTCGATGTATTCAGTGTGAATATTGGACTTGGGACCGATCAATGCGGTCGGTGTTCGGAGTAAACAGTGGTCGGATTTCACAGGTTGTTTTAACATAGGCGTCTATGGAGAAATTTTGGGGCTACATAAATCGGTCGGTTCTGACAGTAGGTCGGTTTATCCAGGGGTCGGTTTTGACAGGTTTTACTGTAGTAAGAAGAGTGTTCTATTGTATTCAGTCTCGGTTGCAAACAACTCACGATGTATTTTTCTTATTTATATGTTCAATTTTAATATGGATGACGCCCGACATCCACCCCTAAATACATCTGACATTGTGTCAGGTACAGGTTTCCAGATGTTTTTTCCCCTTAACAGGTTTTTTATATCTGGTTTTCCTGGGCGGTCAATGTATTCGCGATGGGGATTTATCATCAATTATTCCGTGAATATTTACATATGTAAGGAGGGATACTTGTAATAAACGCGTGTGGGTACTGCAACCACCGCATACCGCATTTCATGCTTGTTGTTTAATTTGTACGAATAATTGGAGTTAAGTATAGATTGTTATTTTTCACCCTGTAAACCTTTTACTGGGTTTCGACTGTTTTGCATTCATCAATAAATGTAGATGATATATTTTGGATTGCTGGTCTTTTGTTAGAATCACAACCTGTATATATGAAGATGATAATCTGAAGAAAACTTGATGGCGACCTACGGGTTTATTTACCTTCAATGGAACACAAATAATCAAAGGTATTAAGTAATTAGAGGTTTTATTATGCACAACATAGTCCATCAAAAGAAATAGACAATTTATAAACCCAGATGCTCCTTCAGTAATAATTGTATACGAGAGTAGTACATACATACGTACTGAATGGCAGTGATGCTAAACCCTGTTATACTGTTGTTTTTTTTTTATTGAATATAGATTTGCTAATTATTATGTTATTGATATTTGGTTTTGACACTATTTTTTGCATTGTTATTAATTATGCATTTCTATATTGACTGATCATTGAATATTACTATAGAGTGATATTTTAGAGCAATTGATTGATCTCACCATTGAAGTACCATAGTTCCAACAGATGTGTTTGGCTTTTTGGCTCTCATGTGCTGACACAAGGTAGGCTAATGTCCTAATATTTAGATGAAGAATGGATGAATGGATGTGTCAAATATTGTTCAAGAATTACTCCAGACCTTATTAGATTTTGATAAAAATCTATGCATAATAATTAGCTAATTTGCATACTAATTGCAACTTCCAGCATGTTTTATTGATAACTGTTGGCTTTGAATTTGAATTATCATACTGTAAATAAAACTGCATATTTTAATTAGCTAATTTGCATATTAATTAACTAAATCATTTTGCAGTTGATCAAGGGACAGAAATGCTAAATGATTGTATGTTGGTTGTTCAGCAAACATCAAATTGGGGCACTTTCTATCATTTCTAGTTTTCAAAAGCCAAAACTCACCAGCCGGCATGTATTGTATATTAATATACCCCAGTAGTCTATACATAATTTCCCTCATTCACTTTATAAATGGCAGTGTTATCTTTTTCATATTGTTTAAACCCTGTTTTACATATCACAGAAACCATTTTTTTTTTCAGACTGCTAAATATTATGTTGACTTGTTTGGATTTGAAACTGTTGGATTATGTGGATTACGTCCTTCCTTCTGGATCTTGAATGAGAAATCTACAGTGTTATAACCCTGTGTTGATTTACCAATTGATAACACATCAATATTAGTACCCATGTACTGTGTTATGTTTTCTTCATTGATACCTCCACTTGCCTCAATTATCAGGTATGGAAATTTGTCCTTCAGTTGCTTGGCTGCCACATGAACTGCCTGTCAAGATATAAATGAAAGCTTGTAAAATACACTGTCATTCAAAAACTGTAAAATACTTTATTTTAGGTATAATTAATTTTTGCTCAAAAGGCTTTTCGGGTGCTTTGTATATTTATTTTCACTGATTTTAACGAGCGAATGTAAAATATAGAACAAAATGTATATTCGCTGAATTTTATTTTCATCGAATCATTCCTTCAGCGAAAATAAATTCCAAGTGAAAACAAGTCATTGAAAATGACACAGTCCCCGTTAAGTTCTCTTTGTGCTCGTCATATTAAAGCGGAGGGGTTGTCGCGAGCGTGTCCTTGAAACTTGAGTCCCAAGTGACGTATACGACAGATTGTTTATTTACATCAAAACACGTGTTTCGTGTCATAGTAATATGGCCAAAATAAAAACAGCCGTTATTCAGCCATCTTTGATCTGATTATGAAACACACTGATATGTATGATGTATGTGCCAAATACGAATGAAAATGGTACATAAATTGTGGAAATATAGTAGTAAGGCCAAAAAGTCAGATGGCTGTCAATCGGCCATCCTTGACCAGATTTTGAAACAAATTGTCATGGATATGCATCCTAACATGTATAAAGTACATGTATGTGCCAAATTTGAATGAAAACTGACAGAGCACGTCCAAGATACCGCATAAAAAAACAAAAACAAGATGCCTGCCAGTCGACCATCTTTGATCCATCATGGACATGTATCCTAACATGTATAATCTATGTACCAAGTTTGAATGACAACTGACAAAGCATGTCCAAAATACAACATTTTCAAAAAACAAGATGGCTGCCAGTCGGCCATTTTGAATCGAATCGGTAAACCACTGCATGTGCATATGTCCCACATAAGGTACTAGGCACATGCAAAGAATGAACCGAATCAGTCCACAGGATTCTGAAATATGACGTTGGATAGACTGACGCACGGACAGACGGACACACGGACGGTCGGACGGACAGACTCAGGAACTCACGGACGGTCGGGGACATGTATCCTAACATGTATGATCTATGTACTAAATTTGAATGAAAACTGACAAAGCATGTCCAAAATACGACATTTTCAAAAAACAAGATGGCTGCCAGTCGGCCATCTTTGATCCAATTGTGAAATAAATCATCATGGACATGTATCCTAACATGTATAATCTATGTACCAAGTTTGAATGAAAACTGACAAAGCATGTCCAAAATACAACATTTTCAAAAAACAAGATGGCTGCCAGTCGGCCATTTTGAATCGAATCGCTAAACCACTGCATGTGCATATGTCCCACATAAAGTACTAGGCACATGCAAAGAATGAACGGAATCGGTCCAAGGGACTCTGAGATATGACCCCGGACGGACGCACGGACGGACGGACGGACGGAGACCGAATTATAAGTCCCCGTTTTTGGACTTCGTCCGAACGGGCACTAATAAGGTTTTTTACAGTGGATCACTGTAAGACTGCATGGAATGCATGGAGTAAATTTCTGCTGTAAAAATCAAATGATCTGAATTTGAATTTCTTTTTTCATAGTTCAATGTCAAAATGAATATTGCATTGAGATACCCATACTTCATCATACTACTAACTTGTTTTACTTCAAACTGACCATCGTTAATTACGTATAGCACATTATTTAGCATGGAAATACCACAAAATATTTTAGCATTTTAGAAACCCAAGCAATATTTTGATGTCGTACACAACGCTATGACCTACGCGTGTTCTGTTTTTATGGTCTATGTAATGCATAACACAGAATCTCAGTGAACATAAAAAGGTTCATTACACTAGGATAACTTTTTGACGGCATACATGTATCATAGTAAAAGCAGGAAAAAATTAAATAAAGCTTTGAAAATGACGCGATTAAGAGTTTTTGTTTGCTTTATTCAGAAGTCTTTGAATGCCATATTGCCTGAAATTTTTAGTCCATATTTTGCATTTTGATTTATGCTTCCGTAATTTTGCATTGCCTAGACCATTATCAAATTTTGCATTGCCTAGGTCGTTATCAAATTTTGCATTGCCTAGGCCGTTATCAAATTTTGCATTGCCTAGGCCGTTATCAAATTTTGCATTGCCTAGACCATTATCAAATTTTTGAGAAAAAAAAATTATGCAGGTTCATTTCATAAAATGCGACAAAGAGATGACTATAGTGTTCAAACAGCAGAATTTGTTGTTTTATCGAAAAACTATAATCAATTTATTATTTACACACTTTGGAAAAAAGATATTGATCCTTGAGTATTTAGCACTGTTAAATAAACCTTTTGTGTGTTTTTTTCCCCCAGCAAATTTCCTTTAACAGTCCACAGACACAATGTGGTGCATGAGGAATTAATTTTCAGCAATAGAGTACAAGAATATGATAACAATCCCAGCTTTGTTCACTGTATTACAATAATCTTCTGGTTTTATCAGAATTTTGGTCGAGTTCTGGTCAGTCGCTCTCAACATTTTTGTGTTGAAAACACTGAAAAAACAGAAAGGTTAAATAAACAAGGGTAATTAATTACCTGTGGAGTGAAATTATCCAACATAACGATGTCACATCCTGCAGTTGCAGCCTCTGTTGCCTCAGAAACACTCCGACATTCAACCTCAATTTTGGTTGAGAAACCACCAACTTTCTTTGCATCTTTCACTGCCTAGACAGATAAAATGTAAACAACATTTCAACCTTCACAATTTTTAACACAATTGTGCTGAAGCTTTTTTTAACCTATTTGTCTTTTGGCGAGTCATGGAGGCTTTCAGCAGAACATATGTTACAATGTAATATAGTGAATGTGTTTAGGTCAAGGAAAAAAGACTATTACATTAACAAGCTAACAAAATATTGATTGGGCATGTACTGTAAAACACGTCTTTTTTGCGAATTTAGAGAGAGAACTAATTTGCTAATTTAAGATGTTTCTAATGACTTCATTATAAATTCAAAATGGTGGCCAAACAATGTCGTTTTCCAGACACACTCTTTGTAAACAACACAGATAACGTAATAATCTGGAGTGCTGCCTTATTACACTTGACAGTTTTTGATTGTTTTTATGAGGTGATAACTGCGCATATGTTTTGGCGTGCGACAGACAGGTATTGTGGAAACAGGAAATCAACAATGACAAGAAAGATTCGCTAAATCAACATTTCGCTATTACGTCATTTTACCACAAATAGCTAAAATAGTATGTCACTTTTTCAACATGTTTTACATTGTTGTTTTTTTAAATTTTATTTTTTATCATATATAATAATGAGTTCCAATGAGAAAACAGTGGTGATGTGTCCGGTCATGTGATGTGTCCGGTCATGTGATGTCACCTTTACTTATGTAACAGCATGCAAATAAATGCATATTTTCACTATTAAAAACTTATAAATAAAAAACAGCTTGTGTTTCCTTTTGAATCTTTAAAGAAATTAATTATTTTCTCCATAGAAACACATGAGTGATGCAGTGCATGTTTGTATCAGTAATAAGATTATTTCGTTAACATATTTGCGAAGTTTCCTAGTCGTTTTTTTTATGATAAAAAATGTCTTTTAATTATCACACTTCATTGATACTATTACAAACATATATACTTTCAAATTCACACTCTTTTATGTGTCAATAAACTAAAATGGTGTATTTTAAACAATATTTGAGTCCATTCATGTCAATAAATTTTCCATATCAGTTTCCAGTCAACTTTGTCTAATGAATCATAAGTATATGAATAAACATCGTTCATTAGGACAGAAAATGCAGCTCATTCTCTGTTAATACATGTTACTTTCATTTATTTCTATCTGATGGAAACATAATTAAATTGAAACATGTTGTACTTTGAATCACCTCCCATGTGATATTGATGTAAAGAGAATTTTAAGCATTTTGGTGTTAATTCACAACTACAACACTGGGTGAGTGAGTGAGTGAGTGAAGTACAGACACAATTAATCCCTAATAATAGGATTTATTTCATACAAAATCCTCTCCACAAACAGAACTAAATCAGTTGTTTCAAAATTATTCTACCCAAAATGGCAACTAGACATTCTAATTATTTGTCATATTTTAGGTGTAAAACAGTAAATTTAATAGAAAACACTAAGGCACTTTGATTGATTGAATTAATTGAACAAAATTAGGACATTTTGAAAATATACCATCAAATTTCTGATATCTGGAGAGCATCTAAATAGCTTTTCAATATGTTTTGTCTTTTACACTGATGGAAAAACATCAACTGTTTGATTAATTGGCCCATAACAATGTTTAGTCTTTATACACTTATGAACACAGGACCAATTAAAACCACTGATAACTGTTTATCAAGTTAGTCGAGCTGCCTCTGTGGCACACATATGAACACGGTATTAGACAGGCAGCCATATTTTAGAGACAGGTACCGGTAGGGAATTTCATTTGACAGGTTAACCTTTTCATCACCACACTTTTGTCCCAAATTTTTCTGCACTTTTTTTCTTATATTAAAGGGGAACTAAATAGAGCCTATTTTGGTGTATGTATTCATCAAGTCCATGTTGTTTCGACTTTTACGTTAATGTTATTTACAAGCGTATCAACATACAAACATTATGGATGTGCAATTGATCGAGACAAGCATTTTGTTTTGTTTTTTGTCTAACTGTCAAATAAATGCTGTTTCCAGTATTGCACTGTGAAGCATGCAAATTATTCAAAGTATGGATGCTGGAGTATGCAATCTTGAGTTCGTAGGGTGGTGGTGAAAACATTTTCATCCATATATTCACGGGGCTGCACTGGCAAATCATGGGACAATTGTCACAGGACACCAAGCAGATTGTTCACAGACCTCCCGTGTAATTTGAAATAAAACTATTTATCCGAACAAGGGGCATCGTCA